GTGATTCGTCTAAGCGCAAGTGGGAGGGATCACAGTTGAAGCCGGTGCAGTACCTCCATACCTGGCATGATCCTGTTAATTTGTGATCCAACATGATGACTAGTCTAAAAATAGTCGCCTCTGATCATAAATTAGTAACACTGTCGATTAAGGCGCCTATTAGCTGTGCGGATGAAGACAAATACAAAGATTTTAACATTGCTGGTGAAGTGCTGATCAGCACTGAACTTGACAAGATTAATCACATTTCTGTTTTTTGTCGCTACTACACTTCTGATTATGTCTATGACAATTTGTATCCACCTTGCACGACCATGCTTACTGTTTCACTTCGAAGTCGATTTCCTGTATCTAGAGGTATCCCCGGATATCAGGGGCGGCACTTCCTTGATAATATTAAGTAGAATAAACTACCCAGCAGTCTATGTACAAAGAGACTCTGTTTTTTTGAGAAACGCATGGATTAGAAGAAACGCACTTCGATTCTCAAAGACTTCCAAGGTAAAAGTTTTCCCTTTACGAAGGACGAAATATGGTCTGAATGGCTGCATTCATAGTCAGCGATTTGGTCGTCTAGCGCGCGAGCGAGCAAACGAGCGACGGAGGCAGCGCTTGCCCCTTGTTTACAACTGAATCTTGGTCGATACCGCCGGACGAGTAGTACCCCGTCGCTCGCGTGCTCGCGGGCCAAATCGCGGACTATGAAGGCAGCCAGTATCCATGATAGCTTATCAACGGTTCCAAAAGTTTCTGGAACAGCGTTTTCTCCTAGCCCGTTAGTTGGATCTGGCTGTCCCTTGAGCCACTACTCCTGAGGGTGTCTACAAATGCTTTCGTAATATCATCAAGTCTTTGTCTCTCCAATCGATTAAACCTCGTCAATCTTCTACGAATGTTGGCCTCCACTAGCGTTTTCTATCAATCATACCTCGATTCTTTGTCCACCCCACTCACTAGTTGGGAACTTCTTCAACGGAGGGAATCGATTTTCACAGCTGTCCCTGACGAATCCAGAGCCTTTTACCCTAATGAACTCAAAGCGTAAGTCTTTCGCCGACCCCATGGAAGATGATGGCAAAAATAGTGAAATCGTGTTTTCTTGATTGATCTGATTGTTTTAAGCTTCTTCTCTGATTTGATTCGGTTTTGTCGGGGGTTTCTACTTGTTTACAATATCAGTGCTATTCACTGTTGAAAAAAACTTGTCACAAAGTATTGACCTTTGGCAAAGTTGATCACAGTATCCTTTTGTGCAGTTTGGATAGTGTAGGAATTAGAGGCGATTTCCTAAAATATCATAGCTGAGGTCCAATGCTTCTGATCGCTTGTTATAATCTGATTTCTTGATGGTATGTGTAATAATATAAGACATCTGGCGATCCTCAATTTTTTGATTTGCTGTCGAGGTTTAACATACTGTTATGTGATTTAATTTTCGCATTTTGTATATTTTGTTTTTTAGGGTTTCTTCCTTTTCAAGGTATACTTTTCACTCGAACAGGTTGCCTTCCCCTGTCTCCTGCTTTTTTATACCCTCTTGGTTTTCTATAGTCAATACACGTGCGCTTTGGTTCCTGGTTTTGCGCTATTGTGATCCACATCAGTAAAAGCTCATGTGTGAACGACTCACGACCATCTACTAAACTTAGTTCGGCAGCCGCCTCTACGTTCGGGTACCTCAAAGTCTGAGTGAGAGTGCGCAGCCTGTTTAACCGCATTCCCATGTGCGATCCAATACTAGAACGTGGCGGAAATCAGCACATTCTGAAACCCATGATAACAACCATGGAGTGAACCCAGCGAACTACCACTGAACACTACCAAAACCGAAACCTATGCACTGAATATTGTGCTCTGCTGCTGGCGTGACTGTTGTTAAATATTGTGAACTTTTACCACACAGCTAAACGATCACTCCTGAAAAAATATGTACTTAGCTTTTTTTTGAACTTTCTAACGAACTCAATAGATATGTGTGGTAGACCCTGCTCCTGAATGCTCCCTTGGTTCACACTTGTTCAGCTTTTCCTTCCTGCATTCTGTCTTCTCGGAACGACTCACACTACGGTGCATCTTGTTTCTTCCAGATTGGGAAACCATTTTTTCACTTTCGTCGAAGAAAGGGTGACATGGGAGAGCCACTGCGATATGTAATCTGGTCTTTTTTTACGGTGCCCTTGTTTTTGCTATCTATGCAGTCATGCTCTTCATTACGTTGCACCACAATTCATGAAATGAGCAATTACATTCTCCATGTTTCTATCCCATGTACATCTCCTCGAATGCGATGATATAAGACGAGCTTGAACTTATGAGGTTGACATCTATGTTAGTCTTTAGGTTTCTCATTAGACAGGATATCCTTCCCAGGCTTCGGCTGGGAAAAAGATCAGAGCAATTTGCGACTATCTCAACGAACGTTTTCGAAGTCCTACTGAAGTTGAAGACCTATGTATCAGTGTATTACTGATGTTTGGAGAAGTGCCACTTTTCAAGCTCACTAAAATCCTCGGTCCGTAATAGCTGGTAGTCTGCCCAATCATATGCTAGTGGATGGTTTCTAGACTAAAGGGTCTTCGAGGTCATAGAGGAAGTCTGGCAAGTGCTGGACTTGTTGGAAGCGGTGCTGAAGGTTTCCTACTTTATGTCTTAGTACTCCATTTTGACTGGGAGTTATTGTAGACTGTAGGAAATGAAGCCATGAAAGCATTGCGAGCTGTTCATCTTTAAAGAGCTAGCCATCAAGATTTGTGATAATGCAACAACATCGAGAACGATGGGTGCCATTCCAATGCCTCCCATTTGGCATGCGTCCGCGCGTTGGATTTCCATTCCGAATCGTAGTGGGTAGGGCGGAGGTGGTGTAGTGGCAAGTGGCACACTATATCACACGCACGGTCAGAGGTTCGAATCCCGGATCGATGCCCGCCTAGGCCAGCCAAGCCTTTCAACCCTTCGGGGTCGGTGAATTGGTANCAGACTCGTCTGGAAGGATAAAAGCACTGACTTGTACATCGGCTGGCCACCGCAAGTCATTGTGTAGGCCACATACGCGCTCGTTACGCTACTAAGATTCTGAATGGAAGTCGAGTGCGGGGCGCATCCCTCAGATTGATTAACGCCAAAAACATTATCCTTTATCCTTTTATCGTAATGGGTAATGAAGGCGTAGTTGGCTGATACAATGATCTGGTGGACCTGGCTTTTTGATAACACACTTTTTCAGTGGAGTACCTTTCTGTGTTTGAAAAGAAGCACCGCAACAAAAGAGTAGTCATATGATATTTATAACATAGAAATCTGTTACAATCCATATGGCACTATATCACTCTTGAGTATAATCATTATTATAAATAAACGCAACGTGACAATAGTAGCTCAACTTAAAAAGGAGAAACATCGGTGTCGGCAGAAGAGGCGAAACGTTTATTTAAATAATTTCGTTGGAGGTCCATCTACTTCATGGTAATCTTCAGTCGTTGTAAAGAGAAGGATGAATTCAGGTAGGCTAGTTCATACGACCAATTACCTCACTCAAAACTCTCTCAAAAAAAGAATCAGGAGCTGGAAGAGTTGGAAAAATCACTTGAAAAATCTCAGAGCAACGACTGAAGAAGACAAAATAAACGAGCCCTCCTGGTAATCTCAATGACTGGGAGAACAAAAAGAAGCTAAGTCGGACAAATTTTTCGTGTATACAAAACACAGTACAAGGGTAACCTAATAAACATACGTGTATCACATTGACAGGACATTAAGGGAAGTTAAAATATGATTATGTCCAAATGGTGGATGGTTGACTAGACTGTAGACTAGAAAAAATGAGAGTAAACCATGAACATGTCTATGTACCTGATGCGGATGATGTGACAAGCCGGACGAGCTTTCACCAAACATGGGCGACATTCCTTTATCTATCATTTTCGCCTCAATTCATCATGCACAGTGAATACAAGTCCGGTTTTGTGAACTGTCCATCAAAGTATTACCCGATTAACTGAGGAAGGGGAGATGTACAATTTATTAATGAAGGCTGAGAGGTGGTTTTGGTTGCTAAGGGGGTCAATCAGTACATTGCAATGAATTGGCATCTACAGGAATCGACAGCTTACCCTAGGATTGCGCATTTACTACGAAGTAGAGAGAAATTAAGTGGGATTTATGTGTCAAAAAACTTACCCAAGGCACTAAAGTATTTTCCACAACTTCCATTCAAAAGCAGCATGTGCGACAAATTGGCGAAGATGTAAAATGGGAGTGGAAGTGGAGAGAACTTCATCATCGAGAACAAGTCAAAACAGTGATCGACAATGAGAAATGTCAAAGGAAATATCCCGATACGTAGGATCCTCTAATGAGCTCCTGTTGCTCCCGATTCAATGACAACTCCTCCCTAGGCTGCGCTACTATGTATAGGTCGTGAGTCATCGTATTACAACCCTCCAGTTACATCAACTCTACCTGATGGTGAGGATGAAGAAATGGAGCTAATGAGGTTAGTGTCCAGCGCCTAGAGACGTTGTTATTAGCGCAATTGTCATTGCAAAAGCGTCCCCGTTGCCTATCTTCCATCCCTGAGGACACAACTCATCATACAATTGCCTTTGGTCAGCAAAGCTACCTAGTCTGCCAAAGTAATGAGGGTCTAATAGTAGCACATATGACAAAAAGAGGGTGTAGGTGGGTTTCTACATCAAGCTAAACTCCATGCTCCGGCCTCATGTTTTCCACCACCTCAAAAAAAAAAATAGAAGTCGACAGATGAGTCGAACATGTCCAATTACCATTTCTTCGAAGAAACACAGATTAGAAATTGTTTTACGGCAGTTTGACCATCTCCGACTTCCTTCCTTCGACAAATGAGGAGTATCTGTGTGGATCATGGATTTTGGTTACAATTCTATCGGCCTCAATCTTCTGGGCATGTGTGGAGATGCCAATGAGATGATTGTCGATAGAATCTGAAGGGATAATGTAGGAGCAGTGATTATCCTTGAAATTCAGTGACGTCCATCAAGTGCGTCGAGATATTTGTAGTCGATCAAACGCGGGATGAGTGTGTGCCTGAAACTAGTAAAGTCCATTTCTTACGACTTGTCCCCCCTTCCCCCAGCAACGATTACATATGTATAACTAGGTATCACTCTTAGAACGAAAAAAAGAATTAGGCTTTACAAAGCTGCATATAACTAAATTCACACGAGGGTGTCTATTCTGTCACCATCATATTATGCCATATCTCGTATACAATTCGAAAAGCTCACCTGATTGGCAGGAAAAAGAAGCACACGATAGGGAACACCATCTCGATGAACGGATATGGAGAGAAGCCAAATGCGCATAATATGATTAATTGTAGTAATTGGCAGGCAGTGAATAGATGTACTTTTCGTTGTGGAACTTTTCGGATGTAGTGAGTTGGTGGGTAAGCTTGCTGAAATTTGTGATCATAGAAAAAACGTGCTGTTTGATAGCCATGAAAAGAGCCAGATCAAATGGCAGTCAGTTGTGAAAAATCGGTTCTGCTGATAGTGATCATGTGCCTAAGGATTCAGAAATGCGGTTCGCCATGAGTATGAGCTTGCAAATCACCTAATGAGAAGGAACTTCGGCGCCTCAAAACACAAGTAACGTTATTGCTGCGAAGAACTAAGCGGAAGTGACATCTTCGGCAACGGTGGTGTACGACGGATTGTGATAAGTTTGAAAGGAGATAAAGTTCCGGGCTTCAGTTCGTCCCGTTACTGGGATGAACTCTCGCATTGATTGAACTTCCTTTCATACCTCTGTTCCGAATCCGTATGTATATGTATAGCCCATAAAGTGACTTGCGGTGTCAAGCCATTTATATCTTCGCGAACGAGCTTGCTTCCATTTAGCAGACCCCGAGAGACAGAAGTTTTGGTTGGCCCAGGCTAGTATTGATCCGTTCCGGTTGGCTGTGAGAAGATTCCAATATCTAACTTTTCGCAATATTCTCGCCTTTGCCCCAATATCGGCTGCAAGGGAACATGAGAACATCGCCCCGCGAGTTTTTTGGCAATATGGTTTGGCCCCTTATTTGCATGAGAACTCCTTTTTCATACGTAAACCTCACTACACACATCTTGCCAGCATGGATCGCCCCTCTCAGCTAGTTTTCAGATAATTTTTTGGTGACCTATGAAAAGTTTCACGCGCCCATAAAGAAATGTTCCACTGTACCTGTTCAGTAATGAGTAGCAGCAAGCGTTCGAACATTTCATTGCCGGATAACGACGTAAGCGCCATGTAAAGGAATAATCCATGTAGCACCGACGTAGGAATCAGTTGAAGTGGATATGGTATCAAATAATACGTAGAGAACAGTATCATCACATGGGCGATCAGGGTTGCCAGCCGAGTTTCTCGAACGTTCATAATCCTGTAAAAGTATATTTCCATGAATTGCGGATTAACCATCAAAACGGAAAGGGATAGTCAATGTGATCGCTAGCAGCTACCTTGCGCATACGCCAGCTCTAATTGCCCACATTGGCAGATTTCCATTAGAACACCCCATGAACCGCATAGCTCCCACTCACTATGCTGGTAGGAACTCCTGATTGTCGAAAGGACAGACATATAAAAGCTTTGGCCTGTTAGAGGGGGTTCGAATGCTGAGGAATCTACGTCACACAAATTCCTAAGCCCAAGAGACTGGGGAGATTCACATATAAGGAGACAATCATGTTTGAAGACTCATTTCACTTCCTCCCGGATGTTGAAATCACGACTTTCCTAAATGCGATCCAATGGCTGCTTTCATAGTCCGCCGGCCGGCCGGCCGGCCGGCGCGCCGGCGTGCCGGCGNGAGCTTTCACCAAACATGGGCGACATTCCTTTATCTATATCTTTATCTTTATCATTTTCGCCTCAATTCATCATGCACAGTGAATAC